TTTTTTTGGCTGACAAGGCCGCTTTTTGTCAATTAGGTCGATTTTTCGCCACTAAACCGATTTATCAGTCCATCTAGACCGATTTTTAGAAAAACTATTTCAATACAATGTAAGTGCTAAATTTTGACAATAGTCTTTGAGTCTTTCGCCCCCCTAAAAAAAAGTTCTTGTTCCGCCACGGGTAGCCATACCTACTTAAATCGACAAAAATTATTCAAATATTCAACCCTTAATTTCAGATCTCAGAAATGAAAGCATACAATTAGTCACTTATTCAAAAAATGGACGATAAATTCACACTTTACATAATCATAGTACTATATTAGTAAGACAAAAATAGATGAATATATTTTTTTGGATGAAAATTAGATGAATATATTAGAAATTGAAAAGATTAAAATACTTGAATTACAATAAAATATTCAAACTTACCTAGGCAGTGGCCGTCGCCGGTCAGCGTCCTGGGCGGCTGCGCGGGCGGGAAGTAGGCAGCCGCAGGTGGTGAGCGGCAGCGTACTGGGTCACTGGGAGACTGGCGGAGAGGCGGAGCCGGGCAGCAGGCGGACGCGGAGTAGGGCTGCAGGGCTCAAAACGCAGAGTCGCCAATCCCGGCTGCGGAGTGCGGACTCGTATGTTTATTTTTATGTTTGTTTTTCTATTTTATTAATCCTTTTGGATCATTGATTTCTGGGCTTTAGTCTGTTTCACACTTTCATTGTGGATATAAGGACACTGGATTTTACTGCTTTCGTTGGGCTTTAGCCACTAGGCCAACTATTTTTTTAGACATTAACAATAAGGTACATGATAATTCTATTCACAACGACTTACTTGCTAATAACATCTACATATTTTCAATAGTTCCTATTATGTCTTTTATGCAATAATTTGCAGCCCAACACAACCTCTCAGAATTCCTCCTAAGACACCGTCTTTTCTACCATGTTGGATAGCGAAATCTGGACTGTCAACTGCCCAAATCTTCAGCAACAAAAAGATGAACTAAAATTACTTGCAAATTGCAATACCTTTCTTAACTTGAATGGATTTCCTAAGCTTATGTATACGTTAGTTGATAAAATCGAAGGATGGAGAAGCCCACTGTAACTGTTGTCAGCTCTGCTCCATCTTCCGATTATCATACACCATTTTGCATATCATTTCTAGAATTTGCACTGTCAACGTGGCTTATCATGGAAATTATTTTTAGTCTTCCTCGAATCTGTGCTTTTTAGTGGTTGGGGGTTGATTCAGCAAGAATGGCGAGGGCTGTTCGTTGACGTTGTTAGTGGCGGCCAACGATATCACAGCGGCGGATTCTAATTGCATAAATTTTTGGAAAATACGGTATGGGGAAGCCTCTTGGTTGTGGGGCTTTTGCAAAGCTGCATCGAAGTCCTTGCTACGAAGAAGATCTATTTACTTGGGAAGCGGTGGGCTGCGGATTATTGTATTAAGGATATAAGTGGAATTACAAAAAATATGTGGCTGTACTTAGTAAATAAGTGGTTGTGAATAGAATCTCCCTTAGTACAAAGATCTTTACAATATTAAATAAACGAAAAAAAGAATGTCACCCCATTTCTCTATATTTATATTCTCATATCATTTCTACAATCCCAACATGAAAGTGAAGTGCATACACATTTAATGAAGAACTATGTCCGCTTGTAACAATACAATAAATCTATACTAAAATATATAAATCTAAAATGCTACATAATCCATTTATGTTCATTAGATTCGTAGTTAGATCATATCTGACAAAAGCATGATGAGTTCATGAACAATGACTAAGCATTCATAGTAAATTAACTAAAATTAGGACATTTCACTCACTGTATGAAAAGTGTTTTATTTGATCACAACCATGGTTCTAAAAATCGGTTTAGTCAGACAAAAAATTGACCTACTGGTGACTAGGTGATGAGCCCGTTTGGAAACCATGATTTTTGGCTTTTCAGACTTATCGACCAACTTTTTTACCAAACACGTAATCTTTGGATTCACGCGCTGAATTGTGTAATAATAAGAAAATGTAAGGTTGGAGTTACTTTTTTGACTGTATTGGCTGAATATATTGTAGATGACCATTTTAACTATTTTTTCATATGATTTTTCTTTATTTTATTAATAAAATATATTTTGATTCCCCCCACAAATCAGCAGAATCAGCCAATACAACCACTTTAGTCAGAACTTCATAAATTTCAGCAGAATCAGCCGATACAGCCGATTTGGGTGTTACCAAATGGGTCCGATAGGCGCCCTCAACTGCCCGAACAGTGTCTATCTAATTTTAGAACAATGATCACACCTAAGTCTGAAGAATTTCATTTATGCCTAATCATATTTGTATAGCTAGACAAATAAATCGAGTTCTAAAATCCGCAGAGACTAACTCATTGATCATAAATGTAAAAAACTGAACTCTATTGGCTTCACGCACAGGAAGGGTTAGATTTGGAGGCCGTTTGGTAGCACTGTTTTTCGGCTTATCAGGCTTATCAGGCTTATCAGCCAACCTTTTCACCAAACACGTAACTTTTACTTTCGCGCGCTGAGTTGTGTAATAAGCAGTAAAAGTAAGGTTGGAGTTACTTTTCTGGCTATTTTGGCTGAAGTTACTGTAGATGACCATTTTAGCTATATTTACATATAATTTTTTCTTTATTTTATTAATAAAATATATTTTAAAAATAATTTTTTCTTAAATCAACAGAATCAGCCAATACAAACACTTCAGTCAGAACTTTAGAAATTTCAGCAGAATCAACCAAAACAAGTGGCGTATCCAAAAAATTCACTCAGTGGGGGCAAATTTTCACTTAGTTATCACACATTTTTTAGGAAACAAATATTAGTTAAAAATTGACAATTTTTTTAAAAATAATTTAATTTAACTTTTTATAAGAAAAAAAATGAAATATGTAATTATAGTTTACAACTAATTTAAGTTCCAAATAAACAAGTGTGTTTTAATATAAAGTGTGAAAAGTTGTGATTGAAATTACATACTCCCTCCGTCCCACTAAAATTGTCTCATTTCATCTTTTCGGAAAATCTCACTAAGATTGTTCCATATTAAATTTGGTAAAAGTTTGTGTCGCTTTAAATCATTTTTACTTTATTCTTACTTATTACGGAGTAATTCAATATCAATAACATAAACACACTTTTCTTAATAACCGTGTCACGTCCTCTTGTTCTAATGTTAGTGGAACAGAAATTGTATCATTTATAAGTTACATTAAAATAAATTTATCTTTAATTAATTTGGATCTTAGGTTTCACATTTTATAGTTTATATTAAATACAAGGGCAAAACTACATAAGAAATAGATAAAATAGGTAATTATAAGTGATGTAGTTACAAATAAACAAGTTTTAACAAGTTTTAATATTAAGTGTTAAAAAGATGTTATTGAATCCTAAATTTGGACAAATATTACAGTTTCAAAAGAAAAAAAAAACTGCACTCCACCAGGAGGAATATGACATTGCCAGAAGGATTCGAACCCAGACATCCTAAGCAGCGTGCAAAACTACAGCCGCTGGACTACGGAATTCAATCTCATAATTTAGGATTATAAATTTTGTTATACTATACATAAGATAATGATACATGCACCCAAATAAAATTTGTTATATGTATATATAATAGGGTTGGGTGGGGTTTGAGTGGGGGCAGATGCCCCCTGCCTCCACGCCAGATACGCCTCTGGCCAAAACAGTCGATTTTCTTGTTACCAAACGGGCTCTGGATCATATCTATCCCTCAAGATTTGTATCTGAGTCCATTTTCATATAATCATCATATAATCATGTAGTTGGAGTTTTATGACATAATTTCAGATTTCCAAATAAATAAAAACAGGCTCAATTGTGTTATACGAAGTAAATGTTAAGAAGTCCATGTGGTAGCATCTATGTACAATACTCCGTACAATTTATGTAATAAGTGTGCTTACTGTTGTCTGTTGGTGTAAAAACTGAATTATTCGGAGTAATAAGTATAAAGTCGCATGGTTAATTAAAATCTGTATGCGTATGAGGTTGTACTTACGTTCACATTAGTAGTGGACTAGATAGTAAAAAAAGGTGACAACTCCGGTACCTTTCTAAAATATGGGGTACCGTACCTATCATTCATTTGATTGGACCACATCACTTTATCATTTTTAATTTAGATTTAAATAATTCAACTGCTACATTCTCATTGGTCCATGTAGACAAAGGTATGGTATCTTATGAGTACCATATCATAGAATCTACCAAAAAAGTGTGTTTAGAGAATTTAGTAGTGGACTAGTGGTACGCCGGGTTGTGGATATGTGTTAATTTAGCATTGAGAAAAATATTAAGATTGTGCGTTTTATAGAGAATTTAGTTCTTGATGACGTATTTAGAAGTAAATGTGTAGTATATGTTCAATAGTGCATTAGTCAGTTTAGATTTATAATACTTCCTCCGTTCTTTTTTAGTTGCAACGGTCAACATTTCACATTTGTCAATGCACATCTTTGACCGTAATTATATTTTAATCCTATTAGTAAAAAATATTTAAAAATTAGATTTTGAAAATTTGTAATGAGATGAATTGAACAATATAATTTTTAAAAAATAATTTTCATAAAATATTAATATAAAATGTAGTCAAAGTAGAACATGTGAATAGTGTAAAATTCAACATGTTGCGATTAAAAAGAGACGGAAGATAGTATATTGCATGTTACCGGTATGGCGGTGTCACCATATTTGGTGTGAAAAGTGGATACTGAGAGTAAAAGGGTATGCAAGTGATGTTCTGATCTACATTAGAGTAAAAGCGTGTTATTATATGCTAATTGTGCATTAGAAAAAATTCATTGAAAATCTTCACGCTGGTGAAATTCATATAAGAATATAATAATCCATTCTTTCAAAGATTCTATAATAATAATCGCTACTAAGAGTGTTCACAAAAATAATTCTAATTAGCAATGATGTTTACATGATGAATAAATTGAGATAAATTCAAACCAATAATGCTTGTTGGAAGATAGAAGTGTACATTACACGAGACGAAGAGTGATGAAGTGGTGTAGAGCTTGAGAGTATTAAGCAGGAATTATTTTAAATTTACTCTAGTTTATTCTTGTAGATACAATTGCTATTGCAGATTATTTTTATGAGTACTCCCAATATGAATTATTATTATAGAATCCCAGAAATTAAGGATTATTCTTATGAATTTTAAAATGAAGGAGGAGGATAATAAGGTAATAATTTTACTTCAAATATATCTCAAATCATTAAATGTTATTGAAACATTAATTCCAAATGGAATGAAAGTGGTTACCAACTTAAGTTAAAGGAGATGAATATTGAAATGCTCTTAAATTTCAATGTTATCGAAAGTAGTGAAGCTTTGAAGTAAATTAACGATTGGGATTTATTTTAAATTTTTACATCAAGAACTCTTCTCATTCGATTCAAAGTACATATTAGTGGCCCTGTTGTACTAGAATGAGCCGTTATCTAAGTTGAAAGCATACGACCCCTCCCTTTCATACTATCTCTAGCATGAGTTTCACGTAATTTTTTAAAATTATGTTGGTATAAAAAAAGTAAGTTTTGGACGGATTTTACTTTCTTTACACCATATACTTTTTAGAGGTGCAAATTGACGTTTTTATGATAATTTTGAAAAATATAGTGAAAGAAGTAATTTGAAATAATCCAAAAAAGTGACCCAAATAATATGAGGGGGGGATTAATGGTTGTGAGGATAGAGGCGAATGGGGAGGTCCATAGCAGGCCGAGGCATGGGATCGAACACAATCTTTTCTTGTGGAATAATTTGTTCCCACTTGAAGCGCTTCACGAGGTTGTGCATGAACACCAATATCTCTAGCCGCGCGTACTCTTTTCCAGGACACATCCTCGGCCCACCCCCAAATGGCAAGTATGTGTATGGAGCTGGCCCACTCCCTTCGAACCTTGTCGGGTCAAATTTTTCTGGTTCTTTGAACACTTCTGGATTCTTATGTGTCGAATTTACGCTCCAATACAACTGCATGCAAATGTACGGGTAAGTAACATACATAAAAAAAATTGCACTTATTTAAGAATGGAGGTTGTATTTTGTATTAATTAAGGTAGTCTTTGTTATGGAGTAAGAAAAAATAAATATCCCTCGGTTTCATTCTTTGATTTTTTGTTACTTATTCAAAGATCACATTACGTACTTTATATCACAAGTGTTTTTTCAATACTTTGTTTCAATATATGTTATTGAAATGTAAACTTACTATAGATTTTATATACACTTATTACCGTAAAAGGCAATATTTGAACTTAATATGGAAACTGGGGGAGTAAATAATAAGACTTCGCTTGAATTATTCCTTCAATTCTTCATTAGAGATTGCTCAAAATAAGAGTAAAATATGGACAAAGGTAGAAAATATGATTGCTCATTTCTTATTTCTAAATTAGGACTTATTGAGAAAGTTAAATAAAAAATATCTTTTGGAGAATTTTCTCATTTTTTGTTAGGTTAAACTTTTACTGTGAAATTTAACTCTTAACACATATATGAACGAAAACTAATTAATTTTGTTTGCAATTTAAGTAACAAAACTTATACGTAGTATGTAGTACAGAGTACGAGTATATGATAAGGATGTGTGTGTGGGGGCAAATTTCAAAATAAGATAAAAAGAACACAAAATTTCAAGTTAAGAGTACTATTGTCTTCTGAATATGAGTAACTTACTTTATTGTCATATTTTGACAATATTTGACTTTAACAGTATATTTTGGAATATATAGTAATAGTAAGTTTGCTGTGCTGGTTTAGTGTTGAGTTTGACATCTAGCCCATATTAAGGATGTTTTCTTTTGGACTGTTTTCAGTCCCAGATCAAACCAGACCAGACCAGATCAGACCAGACCAGACTTAAACAGACCAGACCAGACCAGACTTAAACAGACCATACCAGACCAGACCTGGACAGTTATAAAATACAAAGAGACCAGACGTTTACCAGACCAGACCAGACCAGTTCAGACCAGACCAGACCAGACTTAAACAGACCAGACCAGACCAGATCAAACCAGACCAGACCATCAAATTTCAGTCCAAAAGAAAACATCCTAATATCATAATTGATACGGAGTAGTAGTTACACTTGATTTAAACAATAAAAATATAATGACTCCATTTTGAAACTCCAGAAGTCCACATTATTTTCACTCCGGGCAATTTCTAATGTATAAATTAATGTAGATTCTATGGTACCCATAAGGTACTATACCTTTGTTTACATGGACCAATGAGAATGTAGCAGTTGATTTATTTAAATCTAAATTAAAAATGATAAAGTGGTGTGGTCCAATCAAATGAATGACAGGTACGGTACCCCATATTTTAGAAGGGTACCAGAGTTGTCACCATTAATTAATTGAAAGACATGGATATTAAAATCACACGTACCTTCCATCCTTTGGGAATGCGGAAGCCCTTGAAGGTGAAATCTGTCAAGGCTTCACGGAAAGAACCCTGGAGGGGTGGGGCAAGCCTCAAAACTTCACATGCCACATTCCATGAGTATTTCATATTCTGAATGTCTTCCCAGTTCAATAATTCTCCTCTCTTCGACTTCACGATCTCCATTTGCTCTGCAATGTTCGATCCAATGCATCATTTCTCATGTAAATAATGATAGATGCATGTAACTCGAATAATATTATTTTGTTTTACATTGAAATTTTACTTCAATAAGCTAAGTTTACACTCCCTATGTGATATGCATGCAATATCGCAATGTATATGTGGTGGCACAACATCAATGAATTAGTTTTCATTTGGACTCATCATGTTTTTTTATCTCACTCGATCTGGTTGGATAAAAATATGATACATAGTGCTACCTCCATCCCGTTGGAAGGTTCTCATAGCAAAACGACACGGTTATTTAGATGATAATTAAAGCAAGTACTTCGAGTATATTTTGAGAAATAATTTTAATAGGTATATATTATAATGTAGTTAGTATTGATAACTGTGATGTTATAAATATATTAATTTTAATATTTAATGTTTAATTTATCACTTAAGATTGTTAATTGTTTCCTAAAATGGAAATGAGAACCTTCTAATGGGACGTCCTAAAAAGTAAAGTGGGAACCTTCAAACGGGACGGAGGGAGTATATGTTAATTTTGCTATATTTTCAAAATCTTGTTTAATATAGTATAGTCTAATTTGTTTAAATCTTTTCTAGTTTGATTTATTTAAGTATGGTTTAATAACAAGAAACAAGTACAAGTGAAAACATGCTAGCTATTTGCTTAGATAAATTAAAACTCCTTTTTCGCACACACAAACACACACATATATAAAGTTTACACACAAAAAGTTACTCATAAAAAAGGTATTTAATTTGTTTTGAAAGGAAATTGTTCAACACAAGACTGATACATCCATAATGTTCAACAATAAGGCTAAATATAATCTATTCTCAAAATAAGACTTACATTTAAATTCACCGTGAATGAGTTTTTTATATAAATTAAAAAAGAAGGAATTAAATTTTCCGAAATAGAAGTAAAAATAATGTAAAATTTTTTCTTTTGATCGTAAATAATGTAAAATTTTAAAAATAGGATTGTAATTTTTTTAATCCTAAATAGGTGCACGTGAATTTATCATCAAAATTTAATACCATATTTTGACTTTTTTAGCTCACTTATGAGTGATATGACACTATATGCCAAAGGTGGCGGAATACTAACACAAGTGAAAAATATAATACTCTTATTTTTTAATTTCAAACAATAGTTCGGCTGAAGAAATTAATAAAGAGCACAACAAAGAGGTGGACGGTCATGTTTTTATATATTCCAAAATAGGATGGGAGTAAAATGTTTGTAAATATCTCAATAAGGTTGTCATGATTTTATTCCCTAATAAATAAATATAAAAAGTTTATAAATTTCATAATATGACTGTCATTATTTTTGTTCTCTAAATAGCAATCATTAACGTACGTCATGTTTTGATAGTATCAAAATTTAATTAAACATGGTGCAAGTTTGAAATTCCTATTTTGATAGTATCATAATATGACTTAGTGAAGAAAAAAAATGACAATCCTATTTTGAAATTCTAAAATTTGAGATTTTTCCCAAATAATTAACATGACTTGAAGAACAACTAATAATATACATTTGGATTAAACCTAGGTGAGTAGAAAATCAATACATTTTAATGTAGAGAGTGTTATGTTAGAAATTAAGCATGTTTTCTATTGGATTGAAACCTACTAGTTTGGTGTGGTATGGTAGAGTATCATGTTTTAAAACATGGAGTCACGGAGCATATCATTACCTGTATAGACACGTTGGTAGACGTGAGGAAGCTCAGCCAAATATTTAACGACGAAGGCGCAAGCAGAGCTCGCAGTGTCATGGCCGCCGATGAGAAGCCCCAAAATCTTGTCGGCGATATCCCACTCCGCCATGAACGTCCCGTCCTCGTTGCTCGTCACCAGCATGTGCGACAGAATGTCTTGGCTCGCCGTCGCCGTCCCCTCCGCCAGCTCTCTCTTCCTCTGCTTTATGACCGCCGCCAGCAGCTCCTTCCTTATGAGCTCCGACGCCTGTATCGCCCGCCGGAACGGCGTCCAGGGGAGATCTATGGGGACGGAGAAGACGCCGGTCGCGATGACGTCGAAGGGCTCGGAGAACTGGGCGACCTGGACCGGGTCCTCCACGCCGATGAAGATCCGGCAGGCCAGCGAGAAGGTGAATCGCTTGGCGAGGGGGAGGACGTGGACTTGATTCTTGCTTTCCCAGCCGTCGGCGAAGTGGCGGCGGGCGAGGTCGTCCATGATTCCGACGTACCGTTGGAGCGCTTCCGGTTTGAAGAAAGTGGGGAGCATCTTCCTCATTTTCAGTGATTCCTCTTTCAAAGAGGTCTGGCTTGTGGATGGGAAGATCTTGTTCACCGAATCAGGCCACCATGCCTACAATCACAACGGACGTACAAATTTGATCAATCATATTTTTGAAAGGAGATTTCTATCAAATTGTACACAAAACTCTTCTAATTGCGTGTCTACATACACAATTCATTTAAAAAGAGGCATAACTTGACGTCAAATTGCCTGTGTATACAGGCAATGTACACATTTTGTGTACAACTTGTGTACAACAAGAATGATCCAAAGTTTAAAGATTGTCCCAAGGTTTCTTTATTGTCCGTCCCACTAAGATTATTTCATATTAAATTTGATAAATTAATTTTGTGTGATTCTAACTCATACTTACTTTATTCTTACTTTATCAAAATTCAATATCAATCACACAAATTCATTTTTTAATAATTGCACCACTTCCTCATTTCTCAATATAAGTGAGACAGATGTAGTATAAACTGTTTTATCACGGACATGTTTACTTCACATGATTTAAAACAACGTTTAACATTAAAATGTTCAAAACAATGCTATACATATAAAGGCACACAAACATTCATGTATACACAAGTATATAATATGTGGTAGCCCACCCCCTACCCGTACTAGTCCTTGTACCCCTTACCCGTACAAGTCCCCGTACCCCTACGCCTCCCCCCAAACCTTACACGTTATACACCCCCACCCCTACCTATCTCTACATGTACCCCATTACCCCGTGCTCACTGCCTGCCCTCCTACCCCTAACCCCGTACCACTTACCCCTGACCCCAAGGGCAGGTAGGATAGGGCGGTAGGGATGGGGGTGGATGGAGAGGGTTCTGGATGGAGGTCCATGGTCGTTTGAAAATAACCTTGTGATTCTGACGAGACTCGAGGGTTTAGATAACTCGAAATATGTACCTCTCATGTACTAGAATTTTTGGCGGGAAGTTTATGACCTTCTTGCGTTATATTTCACGGAGAAGATCGCCATGATCATTAGAAACTACGTTAGAAAGTTTGTTATGGTGGATCAAAACAATTTCAAGGGACGACGTTGGCTGGAATATACGCGGATTCGGGTATCGCTGAATGTGGAAGCACCTTTTAGGAGTCGGATGAGGCTGGAAGTAAGATTTTCTGGGTGACTTTCAAGTACGAGAGACTTCCTCATTTTTGTTTCATTAACGTCTTTGTCCCAGATTGTTCGACGGTTATACAGATGATCAAGCTAAGGTAAACCATTTGGGGTGTGGTTGAAGGTTAAGGGGCGGCGAAACACCAAGTATAATGGAAGTAAATGGTTGGTGGGTGCTTCGAATAGGGAGAAAGCTAGACAGGAAAGGGGTGACCAGCAAGGGGATCAATCTCATAAGAACTTTGCAAAAGATACATAATTTGTGCCTTTGGATGCTGCTCCGATCCACCTAGGAAGGAAAAGGGGCTGGTTATCTAGCAGGAGGGGGAGGATTTAGTCGGGGGGGGGGGGGGGGGGTCATGCAAGAGAAGAGGAAGTTTTTTTGGAGTTGGGGAGAACGAGGAAGTAAATTACAAGTCTAGTTTAGTGGGGTTTCAGCAAAAAAAAAATGGATTAGAGGTGGGTCCTAGTGTCTAATAAACCCGCATAGAATCTTGAGTTGTATTAGTTGGAACTGTCGAGGGCTTGGCAACCCTACGACAATTCTATCATTAGTGAACTTAGTCCACACAAAGAGGCCAAAGTTAGTTTTTCTAAAGTAGAGGAGGAAAAGAAAAAGACAGATTTGAAAATGTTCATTTAGGGTGGATTGTGTTGGTCACAAGTGGGGCTTGCCTTGTGTGGGAGGATGGGGTTGAGGTGCATTGTGCATGTATAAACTTCTGCTGCTATCTTTATTGATGTAAGTGAGAATGGAAGAAGATGACCTGCCTTGGCAATTTACTAGTTTCTATGGGTACCTAAAACAGCAAAGATGACGGGAGGCGCGGAGTTTATTGAAATCTCTAAGCTTAAGTTCGCTACTTTCTTGATTGGTTATGGGTGACTTTAATGATCTGCTTTACCCTCCGTAGAAGAGGGGGAGGGTTCCTTATCCTCCTTAGTTGCTGTAGGGTTTTAGAGAGGCTGTCTGGGCTAGCGAGCTTCACAATTTTACATCATCTGGTATAGTAGTATTATTGGAGCCCAAATAACTCAGAAATGTACTCCCTCCGTAACATTCATATCTTCTCACTTTCCTTTTTTGAATGTAACATTCATATCTTCCCATTTCTAAATCTTCCCATCATACCCTCAATAATTTTAAAAATAATTCACTATTACACCTACTTTTTTGGATTTATCCTTCATTCCATCACATTATTTCACTATCTTCCCATCATACCCTCAATAATTTATATCCTCTTTCACTATTCTTAATCTGCCTACTTTTCAAATGGGAACATATATATGTTACGGAGGGAGTATCTCTTATACGGAGTATATTTTTTTTTTGATCATCAAAACGGGCCTCTATTCATATATCAAAAGATTCAGGATCATTACATCAAGTAAAAGGAAAATAAAACTGACACCAACTGAAACTCCAACAACTACGACTGAAACCCTATGGTGAGACTTTGAGACGGTCACCCCTGAGAGAGCAACACGAATCGCTAACCATGTAATGAGCTTGACACAGCCAAACTTGTTCCCATAGATCCAACCATACCCAATGACATAAAGAGAGACAAAAAACTCAAACAAACTGTCAAAACCAACAACAAAAATGGACACAAGAAAACAAATAACAAACAGATAAAAACTACAAGAAAAGTGTTCACGAACTCTAGCACCTCGTACATCCCATGGTGGTGGTTCAGGAGGAGGTCGTACCACCAGTACCATGCTAATTGATCCTCCCTGACCTTTGGCTGCCAAAGACCATGCATAAATCCTCTGTCCCTGCATAACAAAACTCATCCGTGCTTCGTGTGACCAGAGTAAACAGATAGGCGGCGCCGATCTTCTCCAACGACGACAGCAACGCCGCATCCTCAAACCTTGACCACAACGGCGATCTCCTCGAGCCATGACAGCAAATCCGCCCTCCGAGGACGAAGCACAAACAATAGCGGCCATCCTTCGATTAAAATCGAAGATGGAAAAAGCGGCCGTCCTTCGACTAAAATTGAAGACGGAAAAAGCGGCCGTCCTTCGATTAAAATCGAAGACGGAAAAAGACTCCAAGCGGCCGAAGCCCTAGAGAGAAGCGATAGGAAGATACCACTGGAGTGGTGACGTCCGGCGTTCAGATTGGTGAATAACCCTACGGGGCGGCGGTCTCAAATTCCTCTCATTTTATGTTTTAAAAATATGAATGTTTTATTTTTCACTCGTTTGACAAACGTGAAAATAAACGTCTTATACGGAGTATATGATACTCCGTATATATTACATTGGTTCTAGTGAAATATTTATTTCGAATTGTATTGTTTGTATATTTTGTCATTCACGTTTGCAAAAACTAAAAAAATGTTTTTCAGTATTTAGTTTTAAAAAACTAAAATAAGTGTTTTCGAGTGACGCCTTCCACTTAAATTAAAAGCTAAAAGTTAAATCGATGAGTGTTTTAAACAACTTTTCACTTTTTTTTAATACACAAAACACATACTCTAATTTTCAAACACTACTAACTTTTACTACAATTGACAATTGAAGACACTTTCTCAAAGTTGAGTTTACAAATCACCTTTTTAAAATAGAACGAATGACAAACACTCGTGGACTGTAGGCAGGAGTCTAGCTTTGTCTATGTACTATGCCTTTGCAAGACATTATTGTACGTAGTAGGGAGGCATTAATATTGGTAGTGACTACTAGGTCCCTTATCTCCTATACGTAGTACTATGCATGGTACGTACGTATAGTAGGGAGCATTAATAAAGCACTTATGGCTTCATCATTAATATACGAATGATTTTGTCGGTGGCAAGATACATGCTTTGAAACGAAATTATATGAAGTATTTCAAAAGCATTCATATAAACTCTAGCTTGTGAAAATGATAAAGATTTTAATTTATACTCCATATATATAGAATACCTGCATGAGCTTGTTCTCGTTTGAGAACAAAAACTTGTTGCCGTTGGCTCCGCAGAAGACGGCGGCCTTCTCGCCCATAAGGTGTGTCCGGAAGACGGCGGATGAGTACTTCTCCATTCTGTCGAAAATGAACTTCTCAGGGTGGCCCTTCCACCCCGTTGACAAAAACTCGAAGGTCTCGCCGATGAACGGCCATCCGCTCCTTCCCGGCGGCAGAGGGTCGCCGGACGAATCTTTCTTATTACCCAAAAGTAAGTATAGGGAGAGAAAGAGGAAGAGCACAAACATGCACACAAGAGTGACACAGTACATCACTTCCATGCTATGATTCTATGCTCAAAATGATTTTGGAACTATCCTGTGATCGACCGTGTCAAATCGTCATGGGCAAATGCACACTTCCATGTTATATATATACACACTATGACTACACATTCAAATTACAAAAGGAGTATATTATGGGCAAATGCCGCTTCAATCCCCATGTTCTTACTTGACTTTTTTCAATAACACATCCACTATGCCATCAGATCAGTCCAGGCCAGAATTTCATAGTTATAAAATACACAGAGATTATATATTTATCAGATCAGACCAGTTCAGACAGATGAGACTTAAACAGACCAAACCAGAACAGACTTCTATAGTTATAAAATACACAGAGATCAGACATTTACCGAATCTGACCAGACTAGTTCAGAACAGATCAGACCATCAAATTTCAATCCAACTCAGATCGACTTCCATAATATATGATTTTTGAATCATATATATAAGCTGTGAAGATCGTGGCAAGTAACACACACATAAATATAGTGTGCATGTTTATACATGATGATTAATTAACCGCTAGCTATTTTCCACGATCATTTATTTGCTTGAAAAAAAAAACGTAACGAAGACTATGCAAAACAGAATTTAATGTTGTGCTTTGCTCGAGTCAACATATATAGGAGTATATATATACACTTCAAATGAGACTTTAAGATGCCTTTATTACATAGTTTGAAACTTTGAATTAGATTTGTACAAAATTGACAGGATTTGTTCGCGCGGCCCTGCGACAACAGTTCCGTGCCAGTGTTTTCATGTGGTACGAGAGTTATAAATATAAAACTACTAATCAAGAGCATCCGAAATGCAAGTTTTTCTAGTCTAAATAAATTAGGAAAAATTGACAAAAATAATCTCACCTTTTATTGATATTCTTATAATAATCTCACTTTTACATAATTTCAGAATAATCTCACATTTGCACCACATCTTCTTTCGTTGGACTCTGACCTGTTGATTACCTACTATACCAGGTTTTCACCATTTCTTTGAAAACCTTACATAAATAATTCCACATTTCACAAATCTGCTCCAAACGGTCTCATTTTTCATTTTTTCTTTTTTCTCCCTAAAATATTCCTTTTTCTATCCTTTTGTTCTTATTTCTTTTCCATTTTTATTATTCTATTCCTTACTCTATTAAAATATTTTTTTGGTACAATTTCTCTTCAAAATAGTTCTTTTTTGTCATTTTCTTTTTCTTTCCGTATTTTATTTCATTTACCTTTTTATGTTTTTCTTCTTAATCATTTTCTCTTCTTATTAAAGATCTTTTTCTCATTTTACTTTTTGTTATGTTTTCCTTTTATTTTCACTTTTCCACTTTTATATTTTCACTTTTAAAATAAGATCTTAAATAAGAAGAGAATGATTAAGAAGAAAAACATAAAAAGGGAAATGAAATAAAAATATGGAAAGATAAAGAAAACGACAAAAAGGAGCTATTTTGAAGAGAATGTTTTCAAAAAAAAATCTCTCCTGAGTGAGAAATAGAATAATAAAAATGGAAAAGAAAATAAGAACATAATGATAGAAAAAGTAATAAAAATGTCTAGGGATGAAAATAAAGAAAGAAAAAATTTTAGGGAGAAAAAAGAAAAAATGAAACATGGGACCGTTTTGAACAGATTTGTGATGAAAGGTGTGATTATTTATATAAGGTTTTCAAAGAAAGGGTAAAAAACCTAGTATAATAAGTTATCAACAGGTCAGGGTTCAACGAAAAAAGATCGGATGAAAATGTGAGATTATTCTGAGATTACGTAAAAGTGAAATTATTATGAGAAGACCAATGAAAGGTGAGATTATTCTTGCCAATTTTTCCAATAAATTATACCAAATGTTCAATTATTAAAAGGCTTTCCTATCCACTTGATAAATAGTGAAGGGAGTAGACTTTAACATATTACGGAAGCCTCCAATGCATTAAGTTCAAAGGCCAAATTAAGTATCCATGTGGGATTTATTTTATAAATTAATAAATTATTTTAGATCATTATCTACGATTTGAATGGCCACTGTTTAGATATAATAGTATATAATAATAATAGTAATTATAATAGTAATAATAATAGTAATAATAATAATGATAATAATAATAATAGTAATAATAATAATAATAATAATAATAATAATAATAATTATTGAAGATTACAAAGTTATGGTTAATCCATGGTAAAGAACGTAAATACAAAAAATCAATACCGTAATTAAGAACATTGATATTCTGATTTGATGAATTGGAGAATTTAAAAATTGATAAATTGGAGAATTTGTGAAATTGTAGGTATCTGACAAAGTGACAAATATGGGTGTGCAACTCTTCTATCGTTTCAATTCCCTCCACGGCTCCACTATGTCAAAACTGCTTTTCCGTTTCCTTCCGCTATATTCTCAAGAGAGGCGGTGATTTTTATCGGAGTCGGCAAGTTTACACCCCTTTTTACATACGGACATCCTTCATGACAGTGTTCAATTTTTTGGTTGCCACGTCACCCCACACTACAAGCCTTGGAGGAGCTAGATACTACAGTACGTAATATAGTCCAAAGTCTAAATTAATGAGGTGACACGCTTTTACAAAATTAGACTAGACTAGACTAAAATATATTTGGGATGTTCTAATAGAAAATTTCTTACATTCTTTCGGCAAAATATACTGTACATGCAACCGGTTGTACCGTGCATATACTACAACTGGATATTTTATGTTAAAAAAATGAGTATAATGTTTAAATAAATCAAACACGTTGAGTTAGAAACAAACCTACCATTGTTTGAAAATCCATATCCACATAGAATTGAGGTTTCTTCAAGCAACAATAATTATGGACACAAAAATGCTACAATAATGGAAACGTGTTACCGTGATGTAAAATGTAAATAAGTGAAGGAAAATAAGCAGCTTTGCCTCAACAAAAGGTGCCGCAAGACAGGCCTAGGCGCCAAGCGTATTGAAAACGTCCCACACACCAATTAGGCGTGCTAAAAGGCAGCCCAATTCAAATTTAATTCCAAAATTCAACTACAGACTACACTCAGTGCATGTTTGACACACATAAGTCACTGCCTTCTAGCTTTTGTATTGTTTAAAAAGTCTCTACAAGCTTTTAGTTGTGTGTTTGACATGACAAATTTTAAGAGCTTCTCGAAAAATAATTTTTTTTTTGAGATGCTACGGGGAGTAGCATCTGAGAAAAGACCGTGACTGTTAGTGCTACCTCCGTTTTTTTTAATCTTCACAGTTTGACTTCACAAAAAATAAGGAAAGAAATTTGACTTTACTGTAGAGTACACTGTTGAGGCACTGTTTGACACTGTTTGGCACTGTAGAGACACTGTTTGGCACTGTTGAGACACTGTTTGGCACTGTTTTGATGTAGATTTCTTTGCCAAAAAGGAAATAAGGAAGTGTGAAGTTTATTTTAGACCGTCCCAAAAAGGAAAGTGTGAAGTTTATTAAAACCGGAGGGAGTATTAATTTATCCTAACAGCTTGTATACCAAACATGACTAAATCAAACAACCGACTTTTTACCAAACAGCTACCAGCTTTTCTTTTTAAGATCTTTTCAGTCACTAAAAGCTAACAGTTACTAAAAAGCTCATAAAAGTATCTTTTCAGCTAGTCGTGCCAAACATACCCTTAGGCCATGCGAGAGAGGTAAAGGCCTGTTTCATTAAGTTCACACAAGATGAAATCTCAATCTTAAGTAGCCTTGTGAGACTCAATCAAGAGGGGTAGTCAACGGGGAAGGGTGAAGTGTTGAAATCCTCCGGTGTAGGAATTAAAGACAAGTTTTATAATTTATGTAGTACCTACAAGGGAATACTCCGTAGCAGGGGTGGGCAATTCAGTTTACAGTTCGGTTTTCTTCGGTTTCAGTTCAATTTCAGTTTATTCGGTTTGAGAGAATTTGTATCAAACTAAAACTATTTGAATTTCGTTTTGTTTTCTGTTTTGTTTCGGTTCGATTTGAAGTTCGGTTTACCAAAGTGAAAAAATCATTAGATACAATTCAGTTCGATTTGATTCGGTTTCTTATGTTTATTACTCCGTATTTTATTTGATCAAGTTCTATATTTTAGGATGAAAACATAAAAGTAGTACTCATATTCTTTTATTTACTATTTAAATAAAATGTAAAAAAAAGATAGAAAAATAATAATAAAATTTTATAAATTAAAACCTATAACATCTTTTCTATCACTAGAAGAAAGATCCACTTCTCACAAAAAATAAATTTATAGTTGATTAGAATTTATAATATCACATAAAATATTCAAAAAAAAAACTAAATGAGTCAGTGGTACAAATGTTGTAATATTCACAATTTTATTCAAATGAATCATGTAAAAAAATATTAACGCAATTTGTTGTTGTTATCGTCAAATATCTTTACATACAAGTAGAGTACAAAACATAACAAATACAAATATCGTATTAGCTAATTTTGTCAAAATGAATGTATGAAATATGTAAAGGTTAAAATGATACTAGTATATCCTAAATTTGTATTTTTCATGTCTAGTTATTTATATCTTAAAGATGTAGAGTGAAGAAAATACAAAGTGTATATATATATATATATATAGGGTGCGGTTCCAATGAGAACATTGCTTAACGTGAGAACACTCACATTTAACCGAATGTGATACACAATAGATCCCGTATGGTGCACATTTTAACTTGGCCATGAAAATGTGCAACGAACGAGCCTCATATTGGTGTTCCCACGTTCTCACGTTAAGCCTTGTTCTCATTTGATCTTTAATATATATATATAGACACACACACTAGTCAATCCACCCGTTCGTTGCACGGATAACAGATGAAGTTATTTTATTTTTGAAATTCATTGATTTCATGAATATATAATGTATATATGTATCCTCGTTGTAAAAGTTAAAACCTCATATTGAACTACATTAGAGTACATGTAAGATAGTTGTTAAAGATACACTAACTCATACACACTAACTCATACAGGGTATAAATTATTAAATAAATACTCTACCTTGTACCCCCAACTTATCGTTTCCATTGAAAGTAGTAAATATGTATTTAAAGTTATTTTTTCCTCTACATAAACATCAATCACATAATTTTCACTTTCATAATTCGTATTTCACATGAAAGTCAACTATGGTCAAGTTTTATGGGGGAGTATCAATTATTATTTTCATTGTACTTTATACAATGTTTATATCCCGATTTATCGCGGTAAATATAATGCAATGCTCAATTTTTAGATTTGAAAATTAGGACATTCCATTTTTCTAACTTTAGAGCGCGTTTGATAGCACTAAAATTGGCTAAATCGATTGAATTGCTGAAATTATGAAGCTCTAACTAAATTGGCTGATTCTGTTGAGTTACCAAAAAGTAACTATAATCTTACTTTTTCTTGTTATTACACAATCAGCGCGAAATCAAAAGTTATGTGTGTGGTAAAAAGTTCGTTGATAAGCCGATATACAAGGTCACCAAACAGACTATTATTATATTACGCCTATTAATTAATGTTGCATGTGTATGTTTTTAATATTTATCTAACAATTTTGTTTATATTATTGTATT